GTTGGATTACGAGTCGGACTCGCAACGCCTTAGCCACGGACGCCGCGGTCATAGCATACTAAAAAAAAAAAAAAAATCTGACATTTGCAGTTGCCTCTTTGACAAAAGTGTCTTTATGATTTTTTGTAATGGTTATTTCTCTCATTGAGCAACTGCTGCGAAAAGTTATGGGACTGAAACAGTTAACTATCAAGTCGATCCACCCGAGGGTGGGTCGACCTGGGTTATGACTCCCGGGCCTCGATCTTCTTCTGCTGCACTTTACTGGATGTTCACGGACAGGGACAAGACAAGGGGGTGTGGGGTTTGTGGGTGGGGGGGGGGGGGAGAAACAAACCCACTTCCTCCTAAAAAGCATATCTCAATAGCGACTAAATAAGGATTTTTCCTTCGAAGTCGCAGGGCACCTGCATGACAGGCCAGGAACCAACAGTCTGCAAACAAGTAAGCCAGATATGTGTAACGGATGTGCACGCAAAACTCGGGATCTGGAACAAGACCTATGTCCAGAAGTGGATGAGCAACCACAACTTGTCCCCGAAGTTTGCAGCAGGTGAGAACGCAAAAACTCCAGGAGTGATCAGCGATAAAATAAGGAATTAAGTAATCAGAGGAACTTGTGGAGCACAGAAAGAATTCTAAATAAACATAGACAACCAAACGAATGGTTTTTCCCACAGTGAAAGAAAGATTGCCTTGTGGCGATGTACCATTCAAGGCATACATCAAAAGAGGAGACGGGCGTAGAGCAATGGGCAGATGGAGAATAAGAAGGGAAGACAACTTTAGAGAAACTCTTCAGTACAATGTGTCCACGGCTGAGAAGAGCAAGAAGGTGTAAAAGAGGAGATGAAGAAGAAGAAGAAGGAAAAAAAAAAACATTTATCTGCCTGGGTATTGATCATCTTGGCACACACTTCAGTAATTTTGACATACCCAAGTTCGAAGTTAGCTCCAACCATTTTGGCAGCAGACTACTCTGCGTTGATCTCGGAATGAGCGTCGCTTGTGTGGAAGGCACTAGAAAAACCCACTGAACTTAACTTTGTTAAGTAAAATCATAAATGTCATCTCTCTAATTAAAGAAAGTTAACTGCAATGGATCTCCAACATTCTCTGTCTCCTGTCTTAGTTCTGCCCTCTCTTAGACAAGTGTTCGTCCATTTCTTTATGTTATTCTCCCCTGCCCCACTTGTATCGTTGTCTACCTCTTGATTTCGGCGTTTCCCTCAAGTATAGTTTTTAAAAGTGTTATATAATTTCTTCTTGTTGTTATTCACCGGCTGTAAACTCCGGCGGAAAGTTTTGGCTGTTTGTCCACTTCTGAAATTTGACCTTGTTCCAGAACTTAAGCTTTGTGTGCATATCTGTTTTACATGTCTGGCTCATTTTTATGCAGACTATTGGTTCCTTGCATCTAAAAAAGAGATGCACTTGAACTTCAAGGTAGACATCAACAATAATTCACCTTGTATCACATGCTAGAGAAATTTTAAGTATTTGGGAGCAATTTTCACATCCGATGGAAAACTGGACAGAGAAATTAGCTCCAGATGTGCCAAAGCTAATCAAGTAATGTGGCAACTATCTCCCCTGTTGACACACCAGCTGATACCTCGGAGTACTAAAGTGAATCTTATTAGAACTATTTGTTGGCCAACACTATGTTTTCAATGCCAAACGTGGACACTTACATCCTCCAATGAATATAAAATTGTCACAACAGAGATAAAATGCCTTAGATGAGCTGCAGAAGTTTAAAGGAAAGACAGAATACGAAATTCCCAAAAAACAGACGAATGCTAGGAATAAAGCCAGTCTTACAGGTCATCAAAGAGCAACAAAAGAAGTGGTTTGGACATCTAACAAGAATGCCCTGGTACTATCTACCACAGCGAGCCACACTAAAATATTACAACGGGCATAGAGCGAGTGGAAGACCTCGGAAAATATGGAGTGATGAC